TCTGACTTGTCACACTGCTGCCTTAGCTCCTTAGTACACCACTGGCCTTCCCCTCTCCACACGTCCCTTCTGTAGTGTCCCCTGCCCCGACTTGTGTCCCCTGCTCCACCATCCCAAGCATGGGATAGGCCTTTCCATTAATCCCCTTACCACAGCATAGACTGGGCTTATAAAATTGCAGACTTTACTGAAGACTCCTAGTGTTAAAAAAAAATCATTAAAGAAAACAATTTAAGTGATACAAATAAACTTGAACACTTCATGAAGCGGACAGTCTCCATTCAGAGAACTACAAAATGGGGCATAAGGCAGAAAGCTTTTATAGGATAAAGAATAAAAAGCAAGGAAGAGAAAAATAAAATATCTGATTGCCTGGGGCCACAGAGTTAACCTTGTTTCCGGTCAGAAGGAACAAGGAAATCAGTATAGAGCCCAGAGTTGGCTTGGCCTGTGGGGATTGGCTGACTGGGTATGCTGTGTTTCTGATGCAGTGAAGCATTTGCAGGGACTTGGGAAGTTAAGTTGTGGTTTGCTGACATCACACCTGGGCAGGAGCGCCTCCATCCTCCTTTCCTCTTTCCCTCTCTTCTTTCCCTTTTCTTTCTTCTTTTTTTCTTTCTCTCTCTCTCTTTCCCCTTCCTTCCTACCTTCCTTCCTTCTTTCTTTCTGCCTGTCTCTTTCTCTTTCTTTCTTCCTCTCCCTTCCTCCCTTTCTTCTTTCCTTTCTTTCTGTAGTTATTGAATAACTAATAACACCTACTATATGCCAGGCATGTGTAAGTAAAAACAGATGTGGTTCCTGCTCATGAATCCTACAGTCTAGTAGAGGAGAGAGACAAGACGTTAACCAAATAATCATTCAAATGAAAATCATTATAAATTCATCAAAGCATTGAAGAAAATTACAGTCCTGGGTAAGGAGGAGCTTACTTAGTCTGGGGAGTTAGGACAAGAGTTCTTGAGGAAATGAGAGTAGAGCTGAATGCTGAAGGATTCACGGAAATTCAGAGGCTAAGGGGGATGGACAGAGAAAGAACATTTGATACTGAAGGAAGCAGGACAGGTCTGGCCCTATTTTGAGGAACTGAAAGTAGGACTTCTGAGAGGGAGAATGATAGGAGAGCAGAGGAGAAAGTTAGGTAGATCATGGGGAGATAAGAAACCATGAAGGGTTTTAAGCAGGGGACTGACATGGTCAGATGTGAATTGCCAGAATACAAATGCCAGCCTTCTGGGGCTAGAGTGCACATACTTCAAATAGCAGGCAAAAAAGACAAAGCTAGGAGCAAAGTAACTGTGCTAGGAAAAGAAATATGGACTTTGTAAACTGGATAAATTTTATTTTTTAAAGTATTAAAAAGGAATAAGCAACATCCACACAAAACTGGTATACAAATTTTCAAGCAGCATTATTCACAGTAGCCAAAAAGTAAAAACAACCCAAATGTCTATTAACTGATAAACTGATAAATAAAATGTACTGTATCCATACAATGGAATCATTATTCAGCGATAAAAAGAAATGAAGTACTGATTCATGCTACAACATGCATGACCTTTGAAAACATTATGCTAAGTGAATGAAGTGAGGTACAACCAACCACATATTATATAATTCCATTTGAAATTTCCAGAACAGGCAAATTTATAGAGACATAAAGCAGATTAGTGGTTGCTTAGGGTTGAGGATGAGGTGGGGGATTGACTCCTAATGGGTATGGGGTTTGAGGGAGCAAAACTGTTCTCAAATTAGATTTTGGTGATGATTGCACAACTATGGGGATATACCAAAAAACACTGCATTGTACACTTTAAATGAGTGAATTGTATGGTATGTGGATTGTATCTCAATAAAGCAGTTAAAAAAAGAAAATAATTTAAAAAAGAATCCAGGAACTAGGGACATCTATAGAAAGGAATCTCAATCCTAAATTTCTTCTCGCTTTATATTCGTTGTAGTCCAAATAATTGTAGCTAGCAAAAGAGACCACAAGGACTGTCCTGCTAGGGTGAACTGGGAGGATCTAGGGCTCTATTCATACATGTTAGGACGCTAGAGTTGAGTCCATTGTTCATCTAAATTAGCAGTACCAAGCAGCTGTTTCAGTTAATCATTATAAGAACGGCAAAAAACACTCAAAAGAGTATTCAGTTCTTTCAACATTTTAAAAGAATGGTCTTAATTTGTTAAAACAATACCTTTTCTCTTTTTAGCATTTTTCCTTTTAAAAAGTAACCCTATAATGTTTCTTGAAATCTTATTTTCATTAAAATTAAGGTGTTAGCTTAACTTGAAGATAATGCCTCAGCTCTATTTTCTATTTCTTAAATCTTGATTAGGAACATGTGAAACATTACTTATTCAATACTACCTAGGTTCAAAATAGCTACCGAGAAAGGGAACAGGAGGTTGAGCAGGTGGCAATGCTTCCGTTTTCACACTCTGAGAAGGCCAAGATTTCTTAGGGAAGCATTCCTGGTATCTGTATTAATCAGTTTCATAGTTCCTCAGCCAGTATGTGTGTGTGCACGCGCGCGTGCGCGAGTGTCCAATTTCATTTAGCTTGTGCTGCTGACTCTTATCAGGTTTTTATAAAGATTCTTTTCATTTCCCTTTCCAGCTTCCGTCTTACTGGTGTGTGCATGTCAAACTGTAACTCAGGCTTAACCACTCTGCGTGCAGGCTAGTTAGATTGCCTTGTTTTATGTATGAGGAAGCTGAAACTCAAGGTTGATAAGGTACCTTGATTTGGCTGCGTCACCAGTTAATGAGAGGTCTTCCAGTTGGAACTCGAGTCTCCTGATTTCTGTTTTTTTTAATGGACATCTTCATTTTCCAGCCTTCAACCTCTATCTTTTCAAATCTTATCCTTAGGAATAAATTTCTGCATTGAACATCACTTTATGTTGCTTTTTCTTAGAACTGACTTTAAGAATAGACAGAAGAGGTGGTTATCTGTGTGGTGTAACTGGAGGGAAAAAAAATCAAAAGACACATTCCTTTTGGGCCATTTGTTTTCCCAAGTAACAAAAAAATTCCCGTTTATTTCTCCTATTGTAATTAAATAGCAGTAACTGAAGATGTATCTAGATGCTCTTAACAAAAGGCACAAAACAGCACCAGAGCTCTGACCTAATGGATTTTAGAAGAGGAATGTCCAAGTCGTTGGAAATTAAATCTTTCAGGATTGTCTTTCTCGCGGACTACAAGTCTCCTGATATCCCAGCTTCCTCTGTGGCCTTCTTAAGATATTCTTTTCCGGGAAGAGCTTTAAAAAATAAAAAAAAGTGAATCATAGGTGTCTCTCTCCTATTTAAAACTCTCCAACACTTTCCATTGCGCTTAGAATTCTAATTCTCAATTTCTTTCCTAGCTTACAAAGCCCTACAGGATCTGACCCATGTTTGTTTACTTCTCCAAGCTTATTTCCTCTTACTTTCTTGTATTTTCCCCCTCAAACCCCATTTAGGGCCTTTGAATTAGCTGTTTCCTTTGTCTGGAATGCTCTTTCCTCTGATATTTGCATGACCGTTATACAAATCACTGCTTAAATATCTCCTCCTCGAAAGGGCCGCCCCTCAAGTAGCCACCCAATCACAATCACCATCACATCATTTATTGTATTTTCTTTGCATACAGCTTAACAATAACAGGTTTTTTCTTTCTTCTCTCTCCCCCTCCCCCATAAGCCCTCTAGAACCTACACTTGTCTTCATCGCTGCTCAATGGACAGCCTCGAGTAGCGCCTAACAAATACAGAGCTTAATAAAAATTTGTTGAATGAAGACATGAACATACGAATGCTCCCTGTTTTTCCTGCCCCTCTCTCCCAAACAGGACAAAACTCATAATGAGGATACACTGAAAAATGTCCTTCTCATCTATCAGGTATTAACACCCTTGAGAAATAGATGTCCTTGAGGAGACTGTGCAACTTGACGGGACTAGCCCTTCCTATTCTAAGTGGAGAAAATCGTATGTTAGCTTTTCATCTAGGGCTGGGTTTCTTCGTGACCCATGCTTTGCTTCCGATTCTGATACCGCGTAGAGACGCAACGGTGAGCACTAGGGCCCGGAGATCCCTCGATGCTTTGTTGAGGTTCGGATAGGGCCGCTGGCCTGGTGCGCTGTGAGTGGTCCTCCCTAGAGATGTTGGGGAGAAGGGGCGGAGCCACCCCGAAAGCATGAGCCTTACTTGGGCCGTCAGATCTGCTGGGGCTGCCGCTTTGGGAGGGGCCCCGGGAACCAGAAGAGAGCAAAGCTCGCCTGTGGCGAAGAAGGAGGCCCGCTGACCCCAGGCGGTAAGACCAAGGGGTCGAAGGTAAGGAGGCAGGGCCTGAAACCAAACCCGCAGAGCAAGCCACGGCTTAGGTATTTTGCCAGGGGAAAGGGTTAAACGGTTTCCAAGGTAACGGACCAGGAAGCGCGCAAGACGTCCGCCGCAAGTTCGTAGGTCAGCCTCGAGTTTAAAGCTCCCACGGCTGAGCGGATTCCGGCCAATGGAGAGGCTGCCTCGACATCACGTGACGCACGGGGTCGAGCGGCTAGCTGCCTCGGAGCACGTGGGAACGTTTTTCCTGTTCCTTCTTTGCTTTTTAAAAAGCCCACCCACTTTTGCGCGGGCTTGGTTACGGAGGTCTTCTCGCGAGAGGCGCGCCTCCCCTCTCGCGAGAGTGAGTGGGAGGTGTGGGGACTAGGTGGTGTAGCGGGCTGGAGCTGCGGCGGCGGAAGGCGGGGGTGGGCAGGG